ATAGCACGAAGTTTGGAATATCGGCAACTACCCTTTATTTTGAGGCCCGGCCAATAACCCCGGCGACCCAGTTTCTAATACGAACCCCTGTTTTAGACTTGAGACAATCTTTACATGTACTGAAATAAAGTTCAAAATTATAGAAACATACCTAACGTACTGGCATAGTACTAGGCAAACATAATAATAGAAGGGTAGATGATTGTTTTCGGATATATTTATTTGAGTATCAAATATACGGTCTGTGAGATACAAGGGAGTATTAACAAATGTGAACTGTCCCTGTTGTTGTGTTGTCCTTGTGGTTGTTTACTTTAAAAAACAATGCTATAGAAAAATACAAGGAATTTATTAGGCTGATTGATTTACAGAAGGTAAATAAGAGAAGGAAACTGTAGTGAAAAGGGAAGTTTTTTTTCTCGAAACATCGGTATACATTAGGAAATCTCTAGAGAAGCTACAGTAGCGGTTTTAAAAAGTATGTGAAACACAGAACCTTACCATACCGTAGACTTCTTAAAGGATTTTCTTAAACCTACCAATGTAAAAAATTCAAGAATTCAAATTTTAAATTGTATTACATAAAATAAGGCTTTTCGACTTAGCATAAAAATAAAGTAAGAACAATCTAACAGTTCTTATGAAAATGAACACACTTGATTTTATACTTTAAAATATCTGTAAAAAGTAGACAATTGAAAATTAAATACATTATGTAATACATTTATGATATTGTCTTTAATCGTTGTGTTGCCCATCCGATCCTATTTTGCCTGGGTTGAAATTTCACCTAGAATATTTAGCCTATGTCTATCAATGAATCTTTTGATTGGATGCAATAGTTTTAGAGAATATTCGCCACTCTATATATAGTTAGCAATCTTGGGAATTAATTATTTTTACCTTAGGGGTCAAAGGAGTTGACGGATCAGCAGATGGTAAGTCACTACCGCCACCCATGAACGCCAACATCAACCTATTCGATTATCTAATGCATTATTTGTAGTCACTCGCGAACTTTAAATGCGTTTGCATAGAGTTTAGTAACTAAGTATCACACATACACATAAAGCCAATTTTCCTGTGTAAATTAACGCAAAAACCTTTTCTTGAGATAAAAACCCAAGAGATTGCGAATGTTTGCAAAAAGTCAACGTATGTCCTACCTTGACCCCGCTTCCGCCAGTCACAATTGACTTGTAGGTCATAGAACCGGAAGTAACAAAACTAAAATTATTTGTCTTACTCATACTAAACTTGTAGGAGAACAAATTGTTCGTTCACTTAAAAATTGATTTCTTGTTCCGTTCGTTCGTTCTCGTTCAGCGGTGGACGGCGATAGGCTGATGATGATTATGTTCATAGTTGTTTTTAAACTTTTTATTTAGTCAACTGATGATTAAATATGCTGATTTATAAATTAACTTTAATTTACAAATAAGATAACTGGACAACACGTTATTACACTTCTAAATATTAAATGCACTGAGTTTTGTGGCACAGTCCTCTAGCCTAAGTTACTTTTTATAATAAAAGCTATCTGCCAGTAATACTAGGTATATATAATATAATGAAAACCGGTAAAGCCGTTTCCGAAAATATCCGAAAAAAATACTAAGCCATATAAACAAAATCTTTAAAACCCGTTTACTTTTGTATTATTAGCGGTACAATTTAAAGTAACTTTGATGATTGACTAAAACAGTTAAATTTAATTTTCAAACAGAAAATTTAATATTATTTGTGTATGAATTTCACTAATTTATCACTGTAGCTGCACATTTAGTATCAATATCAAATATGGACGACAAAAATATGCCATTAGTTGTTTATTTGCAAAAAAGTTTCTGAAATTGCATGAATAAAACACATGCACTGTGTCCAGCACATAGCGCAGATGACAACATAATAATATGTTAATGTCAGGATTTATTGTGTGGTTTCAATGCAAATTTTTGTCATCCCAGTTAGAATTTTATTGGTATCAATAACTAAATCTCTGGGGGACCACTAGATTTGCACTAGATATTGTATTCTCGAAGATGCCTCCCTTCCTAGCGTATTCCCGAAGATGCCTCCCTTCCTAGCGTATTCCCGAATCCCTTGCAATAGAATCCGTGTAGTTTTAGCCGGTTCGATTCCAATCAGGTGGTGGAGGAGGTGGTCCAATCAGGAGGTGGTCATCACCGTCCATCATCACCCTGGGGTTGCCGATTTTTTAAATTTCATACTGGCTAAAAGTACTAGGAGTTCATAAACAGGCTGGCAGCGGTATTATAACAACACGTGAAATGTTTGACCGGACGCAACCACGAGAAGAGGTCAGATGACTACGCTCGTTCTCCGAATTTTGGCGCCACTGATAACTTATTCACACTTTGATAACGGAGCATTACTTTGATGTGGACTATAATGCCGATTATAATTGATTGTAAATAGGCACGCAATTGATTGAAACACAAAAGGCGGCTCACTTCTTCACGATAAATGTTTATTCTGTTTTAATTTTCTCAGTAAATTGATAGTGACCGATGACTGAAGTTATGAAAGTGTGTGCGATTTATTTAACACTTTAAAGCACTTACTGCTAAGCAACTAACTTTACTGTATGGTTTCTTTACTTTTCTGGAACTTGTTTTATATTTCATTTCATTTAGTTTGTATAATTTGATTTTTCTTATAACTGACCTTCAAAAAAAAGAAGGTTTTCGATTCGATCCCATTTGATAAACTATTTATACAAGTCAAGAGTTAATTCTTGAATATTTATATTTCAACATACTAAAATAATGGATTTCAATGTTAATTACTAATAATACAACAGAAATTATTATCTACTTTACTAGTAAATTAGAAACAATACAGTCATCCACTTTAGTATTTAGTAACATATTCTGTGAACACACACAAGTTGTATTGGTCAACCCCTCCCCCCCTGTTGGGCATAACAATAATTGAAGGAAGTTAATGCCACCGCCGCGTCGGTTGTCGCAGGTGTTTGTAGCATCGTAACAGTTGGCGAGTTAACGTACTTTCTGAACGCAGTACACACACTGGTGCCTATTATCAACAAATTCATTCTTTTACGTAATGTTTCACTTTTTGGCTTGGCTTGGCTTTTCATAATGCTACTGGCAGTAACATGAGCACTGTATATTTGTAATTGAATTAGAACCAACTAAATTATGAACACGGTAAGGTTTGCAAGTTTAATAATATCGTATGGCGGTGCCATATGATATTATTAAATTTTAAACAATTAATAATTGTTATTAAATATATGCATCTGTCAATGATTTCGTAGATAATTATTTTATGAATATGTAAATAAAGTTTAATATCATTATTATCATATTTTCGTACGTATATTGAATACTTAATTTTTATATGTGCAGAAAGCTAATAAAAATTAAGCAAAATATGCTGTAAACGACTGCATAACGATAGGGGATGAGCTCTGTACAATAATACAATGACAGATCAAGTTATAATGGTCAATGAAAGAAAACAAATCATTTATAACTGTCTAAATTCGATCGTCAGGCGATCCATTGTCCAAATGAATACTTAAATTACAGATCAATTCTCGTAATAAAAATTCGTTAAAAATTCAGTTCCAATCTATTCCCGATCTTACAAAATGTTTTGTATTAAAACATCCAACGTTTATTGTAATGTGACGTAATCGTATTGTGACCGAAAGTTGAATCGGTATTCTGCTAATCCTAGTTTACTACTTTACTACGAGAATACCTTTTATGACATTTGTGAGAACGAGAATAGATCGGCACTGAATTGTGAACGAATTTTAATTACGACAATTGACCGTCTTATTTTCTATCAGAGCACTGCTAAAATTACTGTGATTATTTTGTGCGAATCGCAAAAATAGTAGCATTATATATATATATTTATGTATATATTCCTATACGATATGTATGTATTTAGAAATATATAAGTATGTTTATCTGCAGTCTAGTTACCATAGCACAGGCTCTGATTAGTTTGGGATCAGACGGCCGTGTGTGAGATGAGTGAGATATGTACATATAATATTATTATTACTATTGGATGCTCGAAGCTACAGTTTGCAGAGTAATTACGTAAACCACTGTGCTTCCTATATTTTTAGTGTTTGTCGTTTAATTATAGTTAAAACTCGTATCAGAAGAGAAGAGTGACAATTGACATTTTTGGTACATTATTTCTTTTTGGGGTTTTTTAAGCTCGAATGAACGCAACCCTTATAGGACCACTCGTTTCCAAACTAAAAAAATAATAATTACAATGTTTAAATTCAGTCGGTTTAAGTAATAAAAGTAATAAAAATTGACGGGCCCAAATTATAAAACCAAATAAAAAAGGTGTTCGTTACTTATTAGGATTAATCTGTGTGATGATTTTCTTAAATTTAATTTAGTGGATACAGATGTCGTATAGTATACAGTACTGTAAACGGTTTGGGAAACTTACTATTAGAGAATATTGCTATAAGTATTTTATTTTGCTCTGATGTAAATTAAATTTGTAATACAACTGTACCAAACAAATGTTTCAAAGAGTAAAGCGGCGATAATTTTTTCAAAGGCCGTTATCATCGGTGTGCACCTACAACATAAAACGTGATCCCGAAATAATTAGCTGAGTGCGAGCGCGGCAGGCGGCAAGGTGTTAAAGTACGGACATAGCCGCCGCTGTAGGTACAGCTCAGGGCGGGCGGAAGCTGCGACGCATCCCGCCCTGGCTGCAGTCGGCCGCCCCCCGCGGTGCCGGGCCGCCACCCCGCGCCGCGCCCGCCGCCCCGCGCCGGCGCGCTGAGCGCGTGCGCTCGCCGGCCGGCAACTCAGTTCAGCATCGCGCCGCGAGACAGCCACACGTGTGCGTTTTACATGACAACACGCGGCGTTTGAAACGATCGAACGCACCCCAATTTTTATTAGTACCAGTGACACGAGAGGGCAACCTCTCACAATTCTGACACAATTGCTTCTCAAGTGGAAATGCCTTCAAGCTTGTTCGGGGACCTGGGAGGTGGCGGCGGCCTGGTGGAAGACCAGCGCGCGTTTCAGCTGGCGTTAGAACTTAGCATGTTGAGCCTGGGCGAGAGTCTACCCACCAGCAACCCTCTTGCGAGTCCACTCGGCTTCGCGCCGCCACCGGAAGACCGCGCCAAGAAATCGCAGAACATGACGGAGTGCGTGCCGGTGCCCTCCTCGGAACACGTCGCCGAGATCGTCGGTCGACAAGGTACGGATAAATATTGTACCGCTGCTAAGGCCTCGCATGCTTGTTGTGGTTCGGCGCCGGTGTCCGCGCCACTCGCTCGCAGCACCGAACAGCTGTAGAGGTTATTCGGTGTCACGTCTGACAGAGGGCGAGAATTCGCGAGCGGGCAGCGCCACCCTTATGTAAGGGCGCACGTGCCGCACCGGCGATCTTGTAGGTTATGTTCGATCACAACCAACACCCAGCGACACGGCTCCGATCGAAATATTCGCATTCCGGTTAAAATAACGTCGAGTACGCATTGTTTTTGTTTGGTTACCGTCGATATTTTTGTTGTTGCGCTTTCGATGTCCGCACTGAGCACTCGCTGATGTGTCGTGTAGTTAGAAGATGTACGTAAATCCTTCGTTCTGTAGTATAGAATGTCTCTGTGGAGTATTACTTAGCAACGTCTTCGTTTGCCCTGAAAGCTCTGATAACGTTTCGGGCTCACGCTCGAGGCTGCGTTCGCCCTGTTTGTTTTTTTTAATAACGACCTTAAGTAGAAGGTTACCTGCCTTTATAACAGTTTTAATTTGTTAGGTAAATTATACGTCTACACGCTGGTAACTTTTCCAGTTACGTCAAATTTATAATCTACCTACAATCGTAAAAGCAAGTACGTTTTATAATTTTTATAATTAGTTTAAAGTCGTAAAACATACAAGAACCTCTCGATATTATACATAATAAATGTAACCAGGTAGATAATATGTCATTTCTTGGTATTATTTCTTCCAAATCGAGAAACCGAAAAAAGCTATATCTAGTTCTAATTAAAAGGTACCCGTTGGACAAAAAAAAGCGGTACCCAAGGGTTCTCTTTTTTCTAAGGGATGAGCAAAAAATACCGACAAAGTGAGACCGTCAGCCCTTATAGCACAGATTCCTTAAATCTGAGAGCGCTCTGCAAGAAATCAATTATCTGTGATATCTTGGCAAACCACGTTTTAATGACACAGGTAGATTGCCAGTTTAAAAATTGTGAGCAACTTTCCTAAATCTCGCTTTAAAAAAATCTGAACTTTTTTTTATTAAATTCCGCTCTTTTTGATACAGACGAGTAATTTTTTTTCATCGACGTTTTATGAAATTTATGGAAATATCACGTGAAATATATGTGAGCTGATGTTACTAACCAGAGATAATAAAAAAAGTCTGTTTTGTATTCATTATGTTTATTTTGATACCTATTGGACAGTAGAACTGCGTATTTTGTTAATGAATGCTAGAATTTAGGTTACGTAGTATTTACGACCTAATAGCCTTCACTGTTACTTTTGGTACAAACACAATGGCATATTATTAATTTTCGAACTACCCGCCTAAATAAAAAATATTGTCATTATTCTCTGAAATTCGTAAATCTCAATGAAATGTATGAATTTTGCATAAAGTTATTACTGAATGAATATTTCTACAAACATCGAACTTGCCTAGACGTAACTGCAGTATTGATATCAGCAATATTGTACTAAGATGATTTTTTAAATTAAAACAGTAACAAAATCAATTATTTACATACGTAGTTACATATAATTATAATAGAACGCAATAAAAAAATAAGTGCAATGACTTAAGAATAAATTAAAATATATTTCTTGTACATAATTATATTATGCAAATTAGCGAATAGAATGTAATCTTATTCATTATAATCCAATATTGACCCGCAGTACAAAAAAAACAGAAATCGGATCAGTAATTTTCTAGTTACGAGAACACAAACGAACAAACATTGTAATTGTCGGGTCTTGATTTTTAAGTTGATACTACATATTTGTTTTAACTGAAATGTTACTTCTCTGTGTGCGTTACAGTTGATTATGGTGATCCTTTAGTAAATGCTCTAAAATTCACCTACCATCATAGTCGTAACAATTTTACCCATTATGATTAATGAACCCACTTGTGTCTCAAATATTTAGGTATAGCTAGAGGGGTAAATAGGTATACCAGTGATCTGTCACCAACCTTACTAGTAAATACTTCCCTCTTTAGTTACTAGTGTATGATAGTAAACATAAATTCACATTCAATGGTATACATAAAATGTTGAATTTATTGCCACTAAATAGTCGAATATAATCAGTAATATTTATTATAAAATTGTCCTTAACTAGATAACCAGTTGTTATTATGTAATTATAGTTTTTTCAAGTATTTTTCATATTTTGCCTTATTTATGACTTTGTAAGAAAACGATACTACACGTACCTATGAAATGAAATAAATACAAAAACATAGTGTGAGATCTTCCTTCAATTGCTGTGTATTTAAATATTAAGATTTTGTCTGTGTGTGTGTGTAAGAAAAAATGCGATGATTAATCGCATGTCATTTGATTAGCTATGTAGCCACCTTTAAGTTTGAACTTTTGTTCTTTCATTTTATAAAACTACTAAAAAAACCTTAGTAACAAATAAAAAAAAAAACATGAAAAGTCACCTTAAAATGTGTCAAGAATACATTCAAATTAAGAACGTCATGGAGTTTTTAGTCTTGTAAAAATAGATAATGTAAATAGCTATCTATAATTCGTATTTAAAAATTAGCCAACACATTGTTTACATATAAAGATGATGTATATTTAAAATTAAGAAACCAATCATTAAAAACTTAGAGTAAACTCAACTATAACCTTTAAGTAATTTAATCAAAGACAAAAACTACTACATTAATCAAATGATTGAAAGAAGTGCGACTTTATCAAAAGAAGCTCGCAATTCTGTTACGGGTTCGTTTACAAACACTTCATCTTCTTGGCATACCTTTTTAATTCCAAAACGTAATACCTACACTAACCGTTCGAAAACAAGACAACAGTTTTAACTTTCACTGGAAAACGATTTAATGGCCTAAAGTATCTCAATATATAAACATAAAACTAAAAACAATAATAACATATCAAACAAAAAGTTGTTGCTATTTTGATCCGACTCGTTTAGTAGGCCCTCTGGAACCTTCTCTAAAGGCGTAGAACGAAACAATATTATGTATGTATATAATATTGAACTATAGTTGGCTCTTGCATTTCCAGCCTCAGAAACTGGTAAGATAGGAGCAAAAAAGGCAGCTGTTTCACTTACGACTCTGTCGAAGTAATGTGTATACCCGTCCTTTAAGCGGACGGTCGGTGGTACGTTTCGCACGGTGTACACTCGCCTTAACTGCTCGCCTCCCTTTTGTTATAGATTTATGTCCTTGCATTGACTAAGAAAGATTTTGTATTTTTTATTCGAATGTTTTTATTACTTGGAGGACTTATTACGGGAAATGGTTTCCTTGGAACGTTAAGTTTGTTGTTTGAAGTCATGTCGATAGTTTGTTGAACAAAGGACTGGATCCCTACTAATATGTAATCCTAGTACTTTCGAGTTAATGTCCCGAAGAGGAGACCCTAGGTGGGCTTGAACTCATAAATTTACAAATTTGTAAATCTATATAGTTATAGGTTAGGCTTTTTTTTTTCAATTTCACGTTTGAGTTGAGGTCAAGGCCATAGCTTAGCAATAGTCTTTATAATAAACCTCTGTTAACATTATACATTTCAAGGGTGTGTATGTTTGATCGCGTTAAGCTGTGTTAATCTAATGAATAATAAAATACCACATTTAACTGAAGTAAAACCGTAAGCCCCAACTAGTTAAGTTCATTTTGAAAATATAAAAATAATAAATAATTCAGTTGACAGATTCAGATGCTTTTTTGACACTTTACCTACTGAAATACTTTCAAGAATATATTTTTCATTGTTTTTGAATAAGTTACACGTACTATTTCTTTTAAACCATTCTTAAGCTTATAGAGTCCAAAATTATTAACATGTAATTTTCCATTTATGTGTTTTAAATATTCCAAATCCTTGTAGATGCGCCGGCACATCAAAATAAGGACAGAACACTCAAAGTAAAATATAAAACAGAACATTGGTTTTATTAAAATAAGAAGCAACGAACAGACAGCCTCCCAAACGCTGCATTGTTCGAACGAGGTCCAGTTTAAAACGCACCCAAATTGTACCTAAACGAATGTTTTATAATAAACTTCTGAAGATATAATTAGGCAACCACTTACTGCGATAAGGTGGCATCGTGTCTTTCCAAACGCTTGTTGTATTTAGGGCGTTACGTTTCGTTTCCTCCGTTTATTCCGATGGTTTTGCGATAAAAATTAAATAAAAACGTAACTTCGTAGTAACTTTGAGAAGATAGTTGTTGATGGTTTTAGTATAATTTTATGTGCATTTGTAAAAGTTTAGGTGATATTGCATCATGCCCTTTTTTTAATAGCGATTGGCGATAAACCATGTTAATTGTTCTATGCATTTCATGATCCTTATTTGCCTAAAAAAACGATTCTCTTCCAACTTAAAATCTTAGTTAAATAGTAGGTAAAAAGGGATACGCGATACGTTGTGTGTGAGAAGTAAAACCTCAAATCAAAAAATTGTTAGCTAAGTTCAGGTTTAAAAGAAAAAAATTGAATTTACAATGGCCAGTAATTCAATACTAAAGTACGAAACTTCGAAATTATTTCGGACGAACGAGCTTTTATTGAAAGATCTTTTATAGGTATTTAATATAATATTTTTAAAACTTACTGTACTGGAAGCTTTATCGGAGTTTGGGCTTATTTTCTTTGTAGGCTGTACATTTTATTTTTGCTTTGTTATCTGTTTGTTGTTTCATTTTTACCTGTATTGTTGTTCTTCTAGAAAAAGGAGTCTCGTTCTAAATTTAAACTAAACCTATTTTTAAAATATTTTATTCGTTTACTTTTTTTGCACAGGTTTAAGGTGGTTCTGCCAAGTATATTTGTAGTGACCTTTCACCAATTTGATTGGGATATTCGACCTTCCTTATTTAGTATGACTACCACATAATGTTCATGCAGAACAAAGAAGGCAAAAATAGAATTCCATGGATGGCTCTATACTATTGTCTATTGTAAATTCGTGTCAAAACCTAATACGACCTTTAAACAACGCACTTTTACATATGGTGTGAATATTAAATGAGTATATCCTTTTATCAATATTATACATTTTGAACCTTATTTACGTTGTAATAAAATGTCA